GTCCCGAAGAAATGTATGTGAATGAGAAGGACTGCAAGCTCAAGTCTTGCAGAGGCCATAGGCTGTGAAAATGCCTGCCCCTAAAGCATTCTGTCTTCTGTAGAGAGGGAAACTGAAGGCCAAAAGGATCAAGCAATTTTCTATTTTAATATAAGAAATCAAAGAAACATATTTCTTATCACAAAAAAGCAACTTCCTTTTCCAAGTGTAAGTATATAAAGCTGATTACATTCCTGGAAAAAGCTAGGCTCAATATTATGCACCAAAATTCAGATATTACTAAAAAGTACTCCTGTGGAGTGTTTTCAGTATGCTTAGGGCTTCATCAAGATTTTACACACAAGAAGGATGTTTTTGCGGGGAGGTGAGGGTGGATGGAAGTATCAGATAGGAAGGGAAGAATAGCAACTAAAATAATCAGCAGTGTGTCAGCATAAAGATGATAATGTATTTCACGGGATGAAATGGTTAAAAACCCCAAAGCAACCAAAAAGTTTCAATCACCTAAACTGTTCTGAGTATAAACTGAGAAATAAAACAAAAACCATTTAAGTGCTATCTGTACTTGCAACAACTATGTTGTAAAACTCAAAATAGCCTGTTTGCTACAGTTAGAAACTATTATCCAATCATTGTTCCATGAAACTGGGATTTCATCATCAGGCCTGAGTCTGCAAATGCACAGGTACTTGAGTAGCTGTGCCGTTATGGTTAGTCTCATTGGTGATGATGGAAAACAGTGGAAATCCTAAAGTAGAAGCCTGTCCTGTTTTACTTACTCTGAAATGACATCTCGTTCCAATTGCATCTGGTTCCCACATACTGAGGCACACATCTGCATCTGCACATGTTTCTCTGATAGAACGTGTACCTAACTGAACAGTACAAAAGGTTGAAGCTGGCCTACTTAAGGGGAAACCCCTCTCGCTTCTCTGGGTGAAGCACGTGGACCGCATTTAGACAGGAAGAGGTAGATTCTTCTGGTTTAAGAGCTGCTTTTATTCTTCAGTTAAAATATCTCAGTTTTTACCATTTCACTGTGTGCACCAGAATGGCAAAAGGGGTAGCAAAGGATAATGTTGCAAGCACTACTGGCAACATAAGGGCTTCGGGCTTAAAGCCAAAAGTAAAGCTCAAGCAAAATGTAAGCCAACAGAAGGCTTCCCAGAAGCCACTGAATTTTAACTCAAGTAATTTCAGAGTAAATCCAGCTTCTACAGTTCTGCAACTGAACAGTACAATCAATAGACAAACCCCAAAAATCCTCACAGC